GCTGTCTCTGTCTCCAACAGCTCCCAGTGCTAATGTTATTCAACGGATTTCCACCCATTTCCACCAGACGGAGACGCGAAGCTAGCGTGGAATTAAAGCTAAAACGCCGCTAAAAGCAAGCCGAACCACAGGCCTGCTGGCTCCTCGGGTTACTCCAGACGGGTCCACAGCTGTCCAAATGTCCAGTTTAATAATAAACTTTTTCCCTGTAAATCAGTCCACAGTTGGTCCATTCCACAGTTCACAGTCTTGCTCAATCCACCGGTACTGCCGACAGTTGATAGCTTCAAGTCCTCAGTGCCGAATTCCTGGGCCCGAACGACTCTTAGGAACGCTGCAGTCTCCCGAAGGCCGTCAAACGCTGAATCATCGCCGGCACAAATGGGACCTTCTCGTGTAACGAGCAGCAACGAGGACGCGCGCCGGCTCAGAATCTAGCCCTGCGAACATACTTCCAGAATGACTGGCCCTGTGAGCAGCCTGTGAAGATAGTCCGTCTCGCAGTAACCACCCAGGATAGCACGTCATGTGAGTATCCTCTGACGAGACAGCCACATGGCCGCTCAGCAGCCGAGAGTGACTGATCCTGAGAGCGCATCTAACAAATCGAACACCTCGCGGTTATCCCAAGACGGTCGTCACCGGATGCTCAGATCAGTACGCTACCTTGGATTACATAATATATTTGTGGTCAACGTTCTTAAAGGGATTACAGCCTACAGCTCCCCTAGATTCTGATCCATCATCGTTCATCACAATCACAAAGTGAATGCGTTTTATTTATAACACTGCCCAGTGCCCAAGTAGAAATAATAAAACTGGCTTCGGTTTACAATTGATACATTCGAAAAGAATGCTTCTTACGATAACGGGTTCAACTAAAAATGCGAATGCTAAGGTAAATGCACTGAACTCTGGTATATGTTTGAAGTAAAAAGTGAGAATGAAGCGTAAACGGATGTAGTGAGCTAGTAGTGACCACTGACGGTCTGGGACGTGACAAAAACTCACCTTTTCTCACCGTGCAGCCACCAAGCATCATTCCAAAACGTCATGACCGTGAAGACGCATCCAATATGCCAAGAAACCTATCCAGAGTCTCTCAAACCGCATCGAGAGGCAGACATCTTCTATGTGAGCCCCGAGGCCCTACGCGATTGTTGTCTTTGTCTCCTCCCAACCCACTCTCACTCTACCGATCTATATCGTCTCAGTTCGCCGCTCTATCGAAAACCATGTCCGTCCAGCTCTCTCCCGGCATCGTCCGTCGGTGGAGCAGGTCACCAAACACACACCGACGACCTGTGACCTTTGAGGGAAGGTTAACAGGCGCCGACGGGAGCGACGGCAGCGGAAGTGGCGATAAAAGGGGTAGCCGCACAGACAGCTATGGCTGCCCGGCAACGAACGATGAACGGAAGAGGAGAGAGGCGGGAGGAAAGCGAAAGAAGCGAGGGAGGAAAGGAGGGCCGAATTAATAGTAAGAAACATGGAAGAAGAAGAGAGAGAGAGAGAGAGAGAGAGAGAGAGAGAGAGAGAGAGAGAGAGAGAGAGAGAGAGAGAGAGAGAGGGAGAAAGAGGACATATGCCCTGCAGCCTCATTATTTTGCAACTTTCCATCTGTTCGCAAAATACTACAACCACTTCACAAGAGCTGCCAGTCTGTATTGCTACAGCCACTGTGCCACACCTCTGAGGTCATCTGAAGCGCATGGGTCAACGCCCAACGGTCAACCTTCCAGCTGGGACACCTACTAAACCACAGCGTCAAGCGACTTTGGTGGACAAACAAGAACGGTGTTGACATGAACCAGAAGACATTACGAGGTCATGCGTCCCGACGACACATTTCCGATCAGTCCCCAACTCGGGCCGGGCTTCGTTACACCTATGCGCGCCTTCCCGGCACAGTTCGCCAAGTTTGACCGGAACTCCAAGTTGTGGAAAGCGACACGCACTAGCTTCATGGTTTTCCAGGAAAGTGAACTTTATCGAGCAGATTTCTGCCAAACATCTCAGTAGGTTGTATAACGACATGCGTGACAGAGACACAAAGCCGCAAGAACATCGTGTCAACTAGTTATGTTCGAAGTTCTGACTCATACTCGGCCCTTCCATGAAATCGAAATTATTCTAACGCACATGTAGGGGAGAGTGGGGTAATTTGGCCGGTGGTGTAAATTGGCCGCCCCCACCTGTACGATGTCTAATAAAAGTGAGTGAAATAACTCTAGTCTCTATTCATTTGTCATGGGTAGAAATAACTGGAGGACAAATGTCAAAACATTGCCCCTCGTAGTTTTATTCAAAATTAATAAAACGTTAATTTCATTAGAAAATGGTAACTTTTACTTCTGTTTACAAAGTTGTATAACATGTAGTGTTTGGGCTAAAAACGAATTCAGACATTATAGCGGCATTCTTGGGGGTGTTCAGCGGTTCCAAGAGCAATTTTATCTAATTCCGTACAGCCGTGATGACTTTATAGACAACAAAATTTCAGAATGGCAATATGGGGTAATTTGGCCGGGACTAGCGGGGCAACTTGGCCGGTGCGCTCATGGTCACTATGCTGGGACGGCCGAGTTTTCATGGTCAATTGTACCATAAATGACATGATTCATGACCAACTTTGATTACTTCAACGCCTTGCTTTCGATTGGTCAACTGTAAGAGCATGTGACGTCATCAAAGGTTACCAAACGTTTTTTGCTAATAAATCCTTACATAAAAACGATACTGCCGCACAAATGGTCTCATTCTGTTCAGCTCGCCAAGACGCATCGAATGATATGCATGATGACCTTGAAATCACGTAACCTTGAGGTCAAGCGACCTGATGCAACGTGACCTGAGGTCAACCTTTGACCTAGACTTCTCAAGGTCAACACATATATCTTTCGATGCGGACTGACGAGATAATTACGATGGTACTCGAAGTTTTGGCCTAGCTTGATTAGTTCAAAAGTTATTCGTAAAAAAACTGTGATCGCATCCAGAGCCGCTAATTTGGCTATTTTGACCCCTGTGACCCCTGAGTCAAACTCCAAAATGCCGCAAATGCGTCATAGGACACACGTCATTGCTGAATCTGAAGCTGACTCGCAATATAACAGAAAATCCCGACCGCAAACTAACACCGGCCAAACTGCCCCACACCCCCGGCCAAATTACCCTGCTAGTGGGGCAATTTGGCCGCCTTGCAGACCTTTGTAATACGTCACAATTTCAATATAAGTAATTACTCTATCATTTCAAGTTCACTGTCCAGTAAAGTAAAATGAATGCGACACCTGCCAGCGTTGAGAAAATGCAGAAATGTGTCGTCAATTTTAAGTTATATCGTTTTCTAAAAAAAGCGGCCAAATTACCCCACTCTCCCCTACTTTGTCGGCAGTTCACAGACGTTAGACCACCCGAAAAGGGTCGTTTAAACTTTTGAAGTCCAGGTACCTGAAACGACGCCCACATTGGCGACCGGTTCTGTGAGAGCGAAGAATTGACAACGGTTTATGACAACGAGTCACACATAAGAGGTGAGGTTGTAGGCATCTTATGGTATGTAAAGCTTATCGAATGTGAATCAGCACAGGACATAAAAAGCAATCAAACTGATGCCGCTGAAACCATTTAATTTACTGGTAACTGGCAATATGCATGTCACCTCGGATCAACAAACGTTTTCCACGTTGTAACGTCGTATTCATATTTGCATCGCTCAATCCAGTGGTTCCAGTGACACGACAGCATGTCAACATTCCTAAATATATTTTTCAACAATCGTTTGGCCTGCCATCCCAGCGGCCGCAGCTGACGCCACTGTTCGCCCTGGTGACCGATTGCTGACCAGGCATCTGAACGGCGGCCCAATTGACCGGACCGCTACACCGATGACTCGGTCATTCGTTTGATATTGACTCCATCAGTGCCCGGACGTTGGGGCAGGAGGGTCACGGAGCGGGGTTAAAACCAGGGGACTGTGTCGTTTGCTATCGATCAGAACGTGTAGTTTTATGCCCACGCCGCAACTGAAACCTGACGCCATGAAAGGAACGGCATGCAGCCTTTCGACGTAGCTATACAGACAGACATCAGGCCAAGTCCGGCTTCGGACACGAAGTGCAGCATTGGCTGGAATGGAACAGAGCTAGCGTAGGTAGCTGAGTAGCACCACGCTTGTACACGATGTATGTGCCACATGGTAATTACTACAGCATAGACCAGGGCAACGTCACAATGAATCGATCACTGCATCACTCTGACAACTCAGAGTCAAGAGAAAATGCCGCCATTATGCCAACACACATAAGGTACACAAATTCGCCCCCGAAAACAAATAGCCGACCTTCGTCGGACTCAACTAGAGTGAATTACGGATGCTTGTCATTCGATAGGGCGCTGTGACATTGGTGTTGCATGCTGAACATTGCTACCCTTGCACTTTTTAGCACCGCAGCTAGCTGGGATCACTTGGGAATGAACTAAACAAAAATGGTGGGCGAACAACGCTCAATGCTCCTGCAGTCACCAGGAAAAGACTACAGCCACCCCAAGCCAAACAAAAAAGATTCATTTTTTCACACAATAAAAGGAGTGAAAAAAGCACGCCAATCAACCAAGGCACAGTTTTCCCATGCAGTCAGCCCTCTGTCTGGATAACAGCCCACCCTGGTGGTCAGATCGGCCGACCGGGCTCGTTCGTCAGCGGTGGCGACGTCCGGCATTGTGACCGTGGTTAAATGGTCTTCGATCGGTGCTCGCTCACCGCTATCGCAGCCATGTGAGTTCCAATGAGCCCCTCTGTCGTCATGGACGGACGGGGATCGGGTGATGACGACTTGCGGCGAATGAGAGGTGGTCAAGACGGTGCACAGTGGAACCACGCCGAAAATACAGCCTGTAAGGCCAGCCTACAGGGTTGGCGACGAGTGTAGGGTAGGGGCCTGGTAACCACAGGCTAAGACGCAGGGCCCACGCCAGTCGGCTGTTGCAGGACTCACCTCCAGTTTCCGGACGGCCTTGACCTGATGGCTGTGTTCAGTGGCCTTCTGAATCAGTCCCGATAGTGAGTCGAGGAAGTGGAGTGCTGCCTTCATCTGTTCATCAGTCAGCACCCAGAGCAGGTCGTCGAGGATGAGCACCAACCGGCACCCCATCACCGAACAGTCTGCGGAAAAACAGGGTCAGAAACTCGGTCACACTCCATTACTGAGGGCTTGCACAGTCAGCAGTGCAAGGGCCGGGACAAAGAGTAGGGCCAGAAAATTGGTCAGCACCCTTTCACCGAACAATCTGCGGCAGCAGCCACACAGAGCTGAATCTGAAGGAGAAACAATCAACAGGAAATGGGGTCGAAACGGGGGCGATTGGAATAGACACTAGACAGCGGTAAGCACGTATACGGGGACACGGTAAGGGAATGTAGGACCGGCGCAGAGGCTGAGGGTGTGGGCTGTGACTGGTGGCAGGACGTGGATATTAGGTAAACAGCATCTTGCGTTGAGCTAGTATTTAAGCGTCACTGGTGGCTAGGATCATTCCGTTTAAGGGGTTAACGCTCAGTGAGGCATCAGATAGGTGTATTAAGGTATATAAAATGCAAATATTACACACAAAAAAAAACATACTACAGCTCAGCCGAGTCCACAGTGTGGACTCCACACATCACATAAACATTTAAGCACCACCTCCTATCACATGCCCGGTCACTGAACAAGCCGTGCACAGCCGCCTAACATTGGCCCCGTAGGAAATATCTACTAATTCAGTCAGCGACTCAGTGTCGTGAAGCCACGGCAGCCGGCGGGTGCCAAGTGTTATAGTCACGCCATCCCGGACAGAGACCGTGCCTGCCGCCGGGCAGTTAGGGCAGGCTCGTCGGGCGGGGGCGAGCTGACAGGGCTGTAACACCCCACACGGCGGCGCGCCTAGAGAAAGGCGCCGGCGTCCGCCCAGACACGACAGGCGGGGTATAGTGGACAGCAGCGTTAGTTCAGACACGCCAAGCATGACAGATTGGATCGGACAGGAGCGCTAGATACGCCAAATAATGGACATCGAGCGACAGCCGAACAGTAGAAAATGATAAAGATACCCATTTGACCACTTTAGATATGTCCCGACTGAGCAGCTGTTCGGTTTGAATCTTCAATCCAACTGCTCGGACCAGGAGACTGAGACAGTTTTCGGTTCGGCAACAGGGCAGAATTCTCGTCACACAGGCTGAGAGCGCGCCCAAAGACACTATCATTCACACGCGATGACTTCAGACTCGTGTTGGCGCTGCAGTGTATGCATAAGTCATGTATCTCATAACCCCCCAGTGCCGGCGGTATTCGGGAGGCGCTGGGCCGGCGCTGACGATCCGCCCAGTCTATTCTGAACAATTGTGTGCTGATATACCGCACAGAATCACTTCAAGCCAGTCCGGGCATACAATGCAGCTGTATTTTCGCCGAATTCACAATAGTGCCAGCGGTATCAAACGCCAAATCCCCAGTTCTCTTTCCACCATCATATCTGAAGCTTCTCCAGTATATAAATCCGTCTGAGTAAACCCAGTCTATTTCTACAAACCACCAGTGGCCGAGGCTCGATTTCAACCGCCAAATGTTCCAGCCAATACCCGGATTCCCCAGAGCGGCCGCAACAATAGCTCTGATAGGTTGGCGTTGTTGTGCTCGCCACCAAAGCTCGCTGAGCTCACAGCTCTGTAGACTATGGCCGCCGAGCTGCAAAAGCTCCGTCGAAGCTTTCGCTTCTCGCGGCCTCGCTCGCTGAAGCTCCTGAGTGCCGTGGGATTACTTGGCCGTGTCAAAACACGGCCGCCAGGCTGGGGAAGCTGATAGTGGCGGCCCGAGCTACGGCAGCTCGGGGAAAACTGTCATCACCTCGGGGAAGCTGTGAGCCGCTGTGACGCGGGTGAAGCCGTATCAGGCCGCCGCGCAGAGAGGTATTCAGTCCACGGACGTTTATCGCCATAGCACGGCGGACAGAAGGCTGGCACAGGGAATTTCCCTTAGGAATAAATTTGGTGAAGGTGACGCCTTAAACACTGAGACCCGGGCCAGGGAGAGCAATGATGAGGCCAACAGGCTGCGCCATACCGAAAAAAGTTGATGTTTTTGGGTAACTAAAAACAGTGGACCTTCCACCTCCGTCACAAGAACGTAATATCTCAGTCACATGACGCCGAGACACGATTCCCCGAACCCGACAGGATCAGAGCTGTGGCAGTCATGAAGAGCCTGTCCGTGTCCGGATCCGGGTCTGGTCGCCAGCCGAAACCGGCTCCGGATCCCTGGACGACGGAGGACGCAGATCGTCAGATGATGCACGGATGGCGGCCGGCACCGCTCGGGAGTCGTGATTCACGCGGGTAGTTCACGGGACGCAGCAGCAGAGCGCGCTGTCTCGACCCGAGTCCGTCGCGAGGGTGTTGATGTAAGGGTGTCCGGCGGTGACGTGTCCAGGACCAGTGTTTGTGTTGAGCCGAGGACTGAGGCGGCTGCCAGAAAGTACCCTTCACTGACGGCCGCCCCTGCGAGTGGGAGCTGATGCCAGTGTTTGAGCTGAGGTGCAAACCACCGAGCTGTGTCCGACATATTTACAACACAGGTGGTGTCTTGTGGTAAAGTCCTCTGCAATTCTGAGAAGGTAGTGTAATTCGTAAGAAATTGTATTGCAAGTCAAGAGGTAATTCATAACAAATTTTATTGCAAGTCAAGTGTGTCCTTCCTGGATAAGGAAGCTAGGCAACCAAAGCGCATCTACAGTAAATGAGCTCAAAGAAAATACGGATTAGGTAATTCCATTATTCTCTAGCAGCAATCAAATAAAGCAGCCATACGCCGAGGTAGGTGAAAAAAAAACATATTCCCTAAATCTGAACAGTATATCAATCATGCTTCCTTTCATAAGATGAATCACACAGGTCAGGCTCTCCATTTTTCATCAGCCGTTATTCATCCGCGCGGAAATGGCGTCGCTGAATTCCAGCTCTCCAAATATGCATAAACCATGTACCATCAACTGCATGGCAGTGCCCCAATCTACAGTGCAACAAGTTTGGAACAGATCGACCAGATTCTAGCTGCGATGCAAACTGCTGGTGGCAGACGGTATGAGGGAAGCCGCTTAGCATAACAAAATAAACCATGAGTCACTGAAGCCTTTCACGGAATGCAAAAGCTACTTAACTGTTATTCCGAAGAACTGACCATGGGATGGTCAGTTCAAAGCCATGATCAAACGTACATCTGATATTATTCATTTCAATAAAACCGGGCTATGCGATTACAGATCATGGTCAAGTAAGATGACGTAAGATCTACGGAACCATGAGGCGTAGGCACAGTTACTCTCTTCTCAATATTTTGCCCGTATTCGCTCTGGCTCTCTCCAGACATTGTCCTTGTTCCGCCCACTAGCCGGGCAACTGCGGCCATTACCTCTGGCTCCCGTGCTCACACACTGGTCAATTACCGGAAATAGATAATCGACGGCGCGGCTCGGCGGACCGCGCCCGGTCACACGGCCTGTCCTGTGCGAACGACGCGGATGGAACGACTGACGAGCACAGACACACGTAATACGGACGCCACAGAGGTCCCTAGTCCACGCCCAACAGACCAGTGGGCCCAGCGGTGTCGCGCGTTAGCCAGGTCAGCCATTCACCAGCGAAACAGCGCGGAAAGGCTTGCACGCCACGCGGGCAATCGCTTAGCAATCATACTAAATCGCTCAGCCCGACCATAAAACTTTCCTGACAACGGAAACTTTTCGGCGGCGGAACGGACACGTCGCCACAGGGCGCGTCCACTCGAGGCCGGGAGGTCCCGCCGGGCCGATCCGCCGGGGACACAGCGCTGGGCGAGCGGCCATTAGCAGCCATCGGCACACTTGGGAGGGCCGTGTTACCCAGCGGCTGTTAGGCAGACGGTTCGTGCCACTACAGCGCGCTCCGACGCGTCGGGAATCTTGAGTTCTCTGTAACGAGGTACCGCTGCCGTTTTTACGGAACACAATGGTTATTACCGCCCGGAGCCAGTTACCGTTGCTGGTATTAGATCCACCCATCCCGGCTCTAATAGTGGTCTGATGACCGCGCCTCGGTCGGCGGTGCTAAAAATAACCGGCTCACCTCTGCCAGCCCTTTGTGCCCGGCCGTCTCCTCTCAACTCACTAACAGACCCACGCCATCCAACAAAACCGAACTGATAAAGCCAAACAAAAGACATAGCGCCGCCAAAGATCGCCCGTATCTTCCGAAAGCTCTCCCAGGGGACCTCTCTGAAGGAACTCTACCTTCGCCTAAGGGCGATAACCCTCCCCATCGCCGGCCAGCGACGCCCCCGCCCCAGCTCCACCCCCGTGTTGGCCGAGCGGGGAGGGGAGCGCGATAAGCTCAGACGATGGGAGCCGGGACCGGAAAGCCAGCTGCCGTGCTGGCTGTGTCGCGACGCGTGCCCGTTTCAGCACGCGAGCGGAACGGGAAGGGAGACGCAGCACGGACAGATCTGTGTTACGATATACAACTGAACTACCGCTGCTGTTATTATGAGATAGAATAGTTCCGCTTGCACAGCCAGCTGGCCACCCCACCATTGTTCTTCAAGCACTGAAGTGAGGGATAAAAGGCTGTCGGTTTTGGTGGCGAATTTGTCCTTAGCTGTAGCGGCGCATTGATGGTATCGGATGCTTTGAAGGCGACTTTGATTCCGAATGCTGCTGGACTGGCAAGCAGCCGAGCTAGTATCTTCGTCAACAGCTAACCACGTCAGCTGTGTTTGCTAATGGTTGACACTGTGACAGCATTAACGTCGGAACGTGCACGGCATTGACATCGCGTCATGAGAAGTAGCGTGACATCGAGTAATGAGGGGGCTGGACCACTCAGTGTATGGAGGCCTATAGCACACTGGCCAGCCATTCGGCAATCGGCCCGCCTGTTGGAGGCAGTATGAGCCCAATGTGAGCTATATCACCGGACGGGCTGGTGCCATCACAAACTACCGACCGAAGGTAACTGTCCAGGCTTTCCAATCCAATTAGTAAGCTCAACTCAGACCATGCATCTTGATCATTTTTATCACCTGAGACAGAGGATCAGACACTTTTTGTCATTTGAAGTCACGACAAATAAGCCTGACGGCTGACGGATTACCCTCACCACACAAAAAGCTCGCAACTACACAAAACTGCACCTGAAAATAGCACCCACGGCCGACCACCAGCCTATCCACCCCACTCCCGAGCCGCCACTCACCGTTGATTTTCTTTTTGATGACGATACGGCAGTGAGACTGGTTGGTGATGAGTCTGAGCGGCGACAGGCCCTGGTCCAGGGTCGAGCGCGCCTCCATCTTCACCGTCTGCCACTGGAGCTCTTTGAAGATGAGCACCTCGCCGCGGTCGGGGTCCCGCAGCCGCGTCATACGCAGGTCACTGCGCTGCCACGAGGGCGACTTGGACTCGAGCACGATCCGGGATACCTGCCGAGGCGGGAGGGGGGGGGGGGTGAAGATTAGGGTCAAATTGATGAGGCTGTGTCAAACATACAATTGACTGCACGCGCCACTTGAAAGGTTTTAATAAAAATGCAAATGGCAAGAAATGCGGCCATGTGAACCTAGAACGACATAAAAGCGATAAAAAGACAAGCCATCGTCCATGAACCCAGAGACTGAGAGTCACCAGCTCATACAATGTTCCATGCGATGCGAGCACGTATAATCTGAATTTCCTCCCCAGAATTAAGTTAAAGTTGATTCGATTAGTGATTTCATAGCGCTAAGTTCAGCCTCCTCTTACCACCACCTTTCGTGCAAACAAAACAGAATAGCCCCGGCCTAGCCCCGGCCCGATGAACTACTCGCCTGCACGGAGGCCTCGAAGGCGTGCGACTTGAACATGACGCAGCAGGAGTTGACGGTGACCGTCATGCCGTCGATGACCTTGTCGGAGAAGCCGTAGCGGCCGCCGGACGCGTAGGCCGGCTGGGCGGCCGCCATGGGCCTCAGCTCGTCACAGGTCTCCATGGCAACCTGTACCTCGTCCAGACTCTGCCGACAGACGCGCACAGAACATACAACACACATGGCTTAGTATTCTCTGCTGCTAGTGCCAACGGTGCAAGCAGAGGTGAAGAAAAGAAGCGCAATGTACTATAATCGTAGCTGAGTCGATCAGATTGATTTGTAAGGATTTCAAACAATTAAATCTTCCCATATGAGGTTATCAGGTACGGCTCTATTACAGCCAAATCCATTCAATCTGAGTAGATTGTTGGGTATGTATGTACACAGCACACAGCTGTTTCGCTCAGCGACCAAACATATCACGTCCTGACATATAAAACAAATAACAAGGGATACGCCGTTTCACAACGAAACAATCATAACGTCACATAACGAATGCTAACAAGTAACAAGCAATATCCATTGATTATCCACTGTTAGCGAGCAAATAGGCATTTTCGATATCTTCGCAAAGACGGCCGGCGCTCGGAGCGCGGCGGTCGGTCCGCCGCGCCACGCCGCTCACATATGTGTCATCTGGCCCCTGTCCTGGTTCTCATGCCCACGTGTTGTGCGTACCACGAGGGCTGAGACGGGACGGGGGCCTGACAGTCTTCGACGGGACTCCACCGGTGCGCGACGGCCCGGTGCACGACGTGGCCGACGTGGCCTTACGTACGACGCGGCCACGGGGCCCTACGAGAACGATTCAGTGAACCGCATTTGTGACCGCCGTATTTTGTGCATTTTAACCGTTTCCGTTTCAATCAAGAATAGACTTTTTCATATATGAACAATAACTTTATGGTCCTCCGGGTGACGAGAGAGAACGAGTACGAAAACGAGTGAACGATCACGAGCACGCACGAACATTTCCGCATCGAACGGGTGAACTGAACGACTCTCGCGAACATTCTGGTCCTCCGGGCCGGATATCAGTGAACTAGTGTGCGAATGGATTTACAGTGACGACGCGGTAGTGTGAACTGTGAGTGCAATGTCTGACAAACGGTCACGACATGCCAGTGATGCGAAATCACATCAAAGCCGCCGAAGCTCGTATCACACGAGGAGCGAGGTGAGCTTCAGCACGGCGTCCTCCGGTCTCAGTGAAGCCCGCCGACGAGCTGCACTTAGCCAGCTCCAGGCGGAACAGGCCCAGCGCACCGCCGCTGCCAAGGCTGAGCTGGCCCGGCGTCAGGTGGAGCAGGCCCGGCTACAGGCGGAGCAGGCGGAGGCGCAGGCAGCGCTGCAAGCTCAGGCGGCGAAGGATGAAGCAGAATGCCGCCAGCTGGAGTTGGAGCTGCTGGAGCAGGAGGAGCGGGGTTCGCAGCTCGCTCGTTCTTACGCTGCACCATCCGGCGCCGGCCTCCCGGTGGTTGCAACAGAGCCACCGGCGCAGGTATGCGTGTCTCGACAGACGGACGAGTCGGTCACGCGCACCCGACAGTGGCTGACTCAGTCTCAGCTACACGTGCCACCAGTGGATACGGCTCCCGTCAGCGCTGTGCCTCCACCTGCAATGCGTCTGCAGCGCCCGTCCAGTGACGACAACCGAGCGGTCCCGCATCTGCCGCGCATTACGCTGGAGAAGTTCGGCGGCTCTGCCATCGAGTGGCCGCGGTGGATAGCCCTCTTCAAAGCGCTGGTGCACGACCGCGCTGATCTCACCGACGTGGAACGGCTAACCTACCTGCAGACTCACCTGACGGGGCCGGCAAAGGAGTCTGTGCGCGGCATGCTCTGCGACGCCAGTCTCTACAGCACCGCCCTGGGTGAGCTGGAACGAGAGTTTGGTGACCCGTCCCGTGTGATACACGCCACGATGAAAAGACTCCTCACAGCGCGGCCGGTGAAAGATGGCGATCTGTCAGCGCTGACAGAGCTATCTCGTGAGCTCCACACCGCGGTGAGCGTCCTACAGTGTTTGCACTACGAGCACGACCTCGCTGCCGCCACGAACGTCACCACTGTGACTGGGAAGTTACCAGCCACCCTCGCCTGGAGGTGGGGCGAGCACATGGTGGAAAACGGCATCACTCGTCCGACGCTCGTCGATCTGTTGTTGTTGTTGTTTGTTCCCTCCAGGTCGACCTCAGTCGACTGTAGCCTGACGGCTCTGCAGGGTCCTGAACGCGGCCGCCAGGGCCGCGACAACTCCGTCGCTCCGCACCTCTTCCCTGTTGGGTCTGATTGTCCCGGTGAGTCGCAGCCTGGCGCCCATCAGGGCCGGGCACTCGACCAGGACGTGGTACGGAGTATCCGCCGTCTCTCTGCACAGGGGGCAACGGGCACCCTGGCAGTCCACGTCTTCGCACTGCGGGCAGTGTCGCGACGGGTTCCGGCCGATTCGGTGGAGGTACTGGGCGGAGCCTGACCAGTGCCCCGCTCGCAACTGGTGCACATCCACCGCCTCTGCTCGATCCAGGTGTCTGACTGGTCCCGGCAGCTTCGCTCCCATGAGGCTGCGGTACCATCCGCGCGGCCAGTCGCTGACCCACTGGTCCCGCGCCGTCCTTGCCACCGCGCGGTACACCGTCATGGCGTCGACGGGGACTTCCTCTTGGTCCAGTGCTGAAGCTTGCTTCGCCAGCTCGTCCGCTCTCTCGTTCCCGGGCAGGCCGCAGTGGGAAGGTACCCACTGTAAGTAGGTACGCCTGCCGCGGGCCGCCAGCTGTTGAAGCGCCGCCCAGATTTCTCCTCCTATGAGGGTTGTTTGGGTAGAGGGGCCACCCCGGAGTGTCGCCAGAGCTGACTGGGAGTCCGTGCATATCACGATCGGCTCAGGAGGGAGGGTTTGTCGGTCCAGCAGGAACTTCAGCGCTTCTCTGAGGGCTACCATTTCAGCACGGTAGCTGGAGCAGACGTTCCCCGCCGGCACCGTGAGTAGGTGCTGCTGGCCGTCCGGGTCCTCGATGAAAACGCCAGCGCCGCCGTTTGTGATGCCTCCCTCCACCGAGCCGTCGGACCAAACCCAAGTCGCGCACTGTGGCAGACTACCTAGGTGACAGGTCGCCGCGTCTCTCTTCTGTGTGGAAGTCGCATTCAGTGGTAGTGGTCCCACGTCCAGGCTGATGGTGACCCCGCTCTTCACTTCCCACGGGGGGACGCTCGCCTGCGATACTGGGTCGATAGGGGGGCCGACACCGGCCGCCTCCCACATCTCTCGTCCCAGGGTTCTCCAGCCCGTCACGGATCTTAGACGGGCCGGGGCGTCCGACGCGGCTACTCGATGGAGCGGCTCCTCCGGGGGGAGCGCAGTCGCCTTGGCCAGGAAACGCGCAGCCAGTGTCCTTCTCCTCACCGATACCGGGAGAAGGCCCGCTTCCGCCATGAGCGCGTCCGACGGAGTGCTGCGAGTGCACCCCGTGACGACTCTCGCCGCTGCTCTCATTTCCCTCTCCAGAAGTTCCACGTGGGAGGGCGGCGTGGCAGGAAGCCAGGCTGCTGCGGCATGCTCCAGGGCTCCTCGGACATAGCCGCTGGCTACTGTCCGGAGCAGGTCCTCCTCGAGGCCCCAGGAGCGTCCGGACAGCTGACGCAGCTGCGCGATGCGTGGGCGGACCTTCTTCCTCAGCTTATGGCAGTGGGGGCCGAAGTGGAGCAGACGGTCTAACTGCACGCCGAGTAGGCTGATGGAGTCCGTGGCTGACACTGTCTTCCCCGCCATCTTAATCTGGCAGTCGACTGCGTCGCGGTGCCACTGTGACAACACCAGCATCTGGGTCTTCTCAGCTGCAACGACCATCTTCGACTTCTTTGCCCAGGCGAGAAGGACGTCTGCAGCCCTCTGGGCCCTGTCCTTGGCTATCTGGATGGAGTTCCCGGCGCACAGTGCTGCGGTGTCGTCCGCGTACATATACGGTGAGACACCGGGGATGTCGCGGAGATCTTGCACGAGTGTCGCCGCCCATAACAAAAACAGGGACGGCGAGAGCACACTGCCCTGGGGCAGGCCCGCTCTAAACACTCTCTCCCCGCTGAGCACCCCGTTCACCTCTACCTTGACTCGACGATCTCTGAGCCACTGCCACACCCAGTTCACCATGCAAGCCGGGAGGCCCAGTTCCAGCAACCGCAGTCTGAGGAGGCGGTGGTCGACTTTGTCGTACGCCCTCGCAAAATCGAACGCGAGGAGGACGTACTTCTGCGCTGTGGCGCCGTCTTGATGGTTCTGGTGTCTCGGTCGGGGGAGCTGCCACCCATCTTGTACCTCCTGCACGAGGCGGCCGATGCTGTCCTCCACAGAGCGGTGAGCTCTGAAGCCCACCTGCTCCGGCGGCACCATGCCCCTGTTCTCGCTGAGGTAGGTGAGCCGGGCCAGGATCAGTCGCTCTGCCAGCTTCCCGACGTGGCTCGTCAGGGCAATGGGACGGTAGCTGCTGAGGAGCCTTTTGTCTTTCCCGGCCTTGGGGATGGGAATCACTGTCGCCGCGCGCCATTCTCTTGGGACTTCTGCTGTCGCCCACGAGGTGTTGATGAGACGTAGCAGGGCGTCACGCGCGACAGGACCGAGGTGCCGCAGCATCTCGTTTGAGATCCCGTCCGGGCCAGGGGCTTTCTTCAGCTTGGTTTCTCGGATGTGTTGAGCGAGTTCTTCAGGGGTGAAGGGCCCACAGCAGCGCCCGGCCTCTCTGTCTCCTTGACATTCCGCACAGCGCTTGAGGGCGGGTTCTTGCAACTTCTTCTTGACCTCTCGGTCTATCTTCGTTGCTCGGATCTGCCGGGACACATGGGCGTACGTCCTGGCAAAAGCATCCGCCTTGGCGCGGTCGGTGACAAGCAGTCGGCCGCCGTCCTCCATTGCCTGGCCATCTCGCTGTTCCTCATCCGTTGACTTGTCCCACTTCTTTAGGAGTTTTGAAACTCTCCCCAGACTGGCTGGTCGGTTCAGCGTCTCAGAGACGAATTGACGGAAGCGATCACGGGACACTCTCCTCTCCACCTCCGCCGCCCTCTGTTTCGCCTCCGTCCACCTGGTCCTGGACCGCTCGTTCCCAGGCTGCAGCAGGCGTCGGGCCTCCCGGCGCTCCGCTACGGCCTCCCTCAGCTCGGGGTCGAGTGCCCACGGTTTGGGGTCCGCGCGGGCCCCGCAGGGGATATGCCGCACGCCCGCCTGACGTAGGGCCGTCGAAAACCGGTCGCTCTGGAGCTGCGCCGACTCTCCCGGAGTCCCGGCCTCAAGGAGGGCCGCCTCACAGGTGTCGCGGAACGCAACCCAGTCGGCCTTGTCGTAAGCCATCCTCGCCTTGCGGATCCTGCGGGGTTGCTCTCGAATTCCGCGCATCTCCACCACCATCGGCAGGTGATCGCTCCCGAGGTCCGGACCGATCCACCACCTGCTCCTTCGGGCCAGGGCCGATCCACACACCGCCAGGTCGGGCGCGGACTGACCTCCGGAGCGGTAACTGGCGAAGGTCGGGTCGCCGCTGTTGAGTGGCGCCCAGTCGATCCTCTCGAGCCAGTCCGCGATTCGCGTTCCGACCCGGTCTGCAGCTTCGCAGCCCGAGTCCCAGGAGGGGTGGTGGGCATTCAGGTCACCGACGATGAGTGTTTCGTCGTCACTGGGCAGGAGGTCCGGGTCGAAGTTGTCCTCCCGGTCATCGTTCGTCGCTCTGATTGGCGGTCGGTAGATGTTCAAGATACGAGTCGGGGTGGGTCCCAGGATGCGTACCCCACACAGCTCTGTGGAGTCGTCGGTAGCGGCCAGAAGGTTGTCGATGACGGGGGTGAAGGCCAGGCCAGCTCGCACGTAGATGGCCACGTCGATCTCGACGAATGGCTTCGCCGTCATGTGTCAGCTGGTCGGTTGGCCTTGAACGTGACCACCAAGCAGCTGCCGAAGGTCGAGGCTAATGACGCTGAGTGCCGCCCGAGACGCGTGTTTACCACCACGTCGGCGCGGCCCACGCCGGCGGCTGTAAAGCGGGAGAGGACAGCTGCCATAAAGTCATCAGCGGACGGACACAGTGACTGGTGTACCATGTGTCAGCAAACACACGAGCTCCAGCACTGTGACGAATTTCTCGCGCTGACTGTGAGTGAGAAGGCAGAGTTCGTCGGCAGAAACGGACTGTGCTTTAACTGCCTGGGTCGCGATCACATCAGCGCCACGTGTCCCAGTGATGCACGATGTGACGCGGAGCACTGCGGCAGGCGTCATCACACGCTGTTACACAATGGAGGACGAGTGTTTCCGCTGCGCGATTCCGATGATGGTACGCCGTCATCTGCCAAACATGTCGGCACCGCATCGGCCGAGCCTCGCAGTGATGTTCTCCTGCAGGTGATGCCCATCACCGTAAATGGGCCGGCAGGTAGCCGCACCACGAACGCACTCTTCGACCTGGGCAGTCAGGTCACACTGATCACCGACGACCTGTGTGACCGGCTCGGCATCTCAGGGCCCACCGACAAATTGGTGCTGAGTACGCTGAGTGGGACCCAAACGACGACGTCACGACGCGTATCCTTCGCCGTCGAGGCTGTGGGCGGCGACGGCAGGGCACACCGTATACGAAACGCCCAAACGACGCCGACGTTAAACGTGTCAGCCAAGGCCATGGACTGCACAGTAGCAAAGGAGAAATGGCCGCACCTTGCCGACCTGGATCTCCCCAGCGCCACCCACGGCCCAGTGGAGGTGCTCCTGGGAACCGACGTCATCGAACTTATTGTGCCGCGGGAAGTGATCGAGGGACCGACGGGAACGCTGTGCGCCGTAAGGACGCTGTTGGGATGGACGGTGACCGGGCGGGCGTCGGAACGCTCGGTGCTCGATGGTGAACACGTTGTCAATCACGTTCGTGTCAGTGATAAAACGAATGCAGTCGCTGACCTTCACACCCAGGAATCATCAGAGACGACCCAGTGGTGTCACGCAGCCGAGCCGCCGGGCCCGGCCGACATCTTCAGCAGAGGCGGCCCGGGGACGGACCTCGCCCCCGGCGGACCGTGGATACGAGGTCCAGCTGCGCGGTCCGGCCCGGCCGCCCTCTCCGACGACGAGACGAGGGTGACAGCGTGCGTCACCGAGCGAGCGGAGCCGGTCGTAAACGGCAGTGACTTCTCGTCCTGCCTCATGGACTCCGGCGGCCTGCTCAGAGTCGGTGGCCGTCGCTGGAAGCGGAAGAACACGCAGCCGCAGGATCGCCCCTGGCGACGCCGGCGGCGAGAGGGTCTCCCCGCGCACGCCGACCGCACACTGCATGTCGATCATGGACACGACCGAGGTCAAGGTTGGCGAACTAGTGCGACTGACCGACGTAAACGTACCGTGTGGACACCGGCCGATGGGACGAGCGGAGTGTATGACCCCGGTGTAGGCGGTCGTATCCGCGCCGTGGATGCGACGACTGCCACTGGTCGTTACAGGCGGCCAGTCTCTCGTCTCTGCCGTCTCGAGTGCGACGGCGACGAACAGTAAACGGACTCGGAGAGATAATGTGCGGCACGGGGGACGGCTAAAGTGAGTCGTCTACGACCGCACTGTGCCGCCGGCGAGCAGTGTGGAGATCGGAGCGTTTATTAGTGTTTCCTGCGCCCACCATTCGCGATGCCAACGTGTGTGTGTGTGCGTGAGAGAGTGAGCCGCTCATTCTGTCCGCTGCGAATGGTCATTTGTGTTGAGTGTTCAGCCATTAGCTATCAGCTGTGAGCCGTGTGACAGTTCTTGGACGCGCTAGTAGTTTACGACCTTACGAGAGTGTAACATAGCAGTGTTAGATTAGTTTATGATACGCACCGTGTTAGCGCTATTGTACGTCCGCGTTTGTTCGCTTCGCCGCTTCGGTAACATAATGTGTGTCGTGTTATACATTGTGTGATGGGTGTTTGTTGTGTGTCGGCCATGTGACGGCAATGTCACTGCCGACAATGCCTCTCGGCCCAGCGTGTGTAGTTTACGACATGCGTCAGTGTGTGACGGCACCCGGCTGCCGAGACCGCGCCGTCACCAGTTTTATGACTGGGTGATTGTTGGCGGGGATAATGCCTGCCTCAGTCAGACATTGTGTAGTGCGTAATGTGCATTGTATGTGAGTGTATGTATATCGCGCATGTTGAACGGATCGTTACGAGTGTGTGCGTGCGTACGGGACGCTTGAACGATTGCTCGCTAGTTGTTGGATTTTCCGCGGATGATCGCGAAAAACCGGGCCGGCTATGTTAGCGAGCAAATAGGCATTTTCGATATCTTCGCAAAGACGGCCGGCGCTCGGAGCGCGGCGGTCGGTCCGCCGCGCCACGCCGCTCACATATGTGTCATCTGGCCCCTGTCCTGGTTCTCATGCCCACGTGTTGTGCGTACCACGAGGGCTGAGACGGGACGGGGGCCTGACAGTCTTCGACGGGACTCCACCGGTGCGCGACGGCCCGGTGCACGACGTGGCCGACGTGGCCTTACGTACGACGCGGCCACGGGGCCCTACGAGAACGATTCAGTGAACCGCATTTGTGACCGCCGTATTTTGTGCATTTTAACCGTTTCCGTTTCAATCAAGAATAGACTTTTTCATATATGAACAATAACTTTATGGTCCTCCGGGTGACGAGAGAGAACGAGTACGAAAACGAGTGAACGATCACGAGCACGCACGAACATTTCCGCATCGAACGGGTGAACTGAACGACTCTCGCGAACATCCACACTCTCCGAAATGATAGCTAGGCTTCCAATGACGCCCCTGATAGAGCTGCTATAGCGGTAATATGACACCTGGGCAGCCAAAATCGATACTAGATACGCACTAACTAATCGATACGACTGCACACGTGTGTTCCCCGTTTGCGGAAAAAACACGACACCGCCGAGGCCTGCATCTCCTCTCCCTCCCTCCCTCTGCCTCCCATTCTTCTCTCTCTCTCTCTCTCTCTCTCTCTCTCTTTCTCTCTCTCTCTCCCCTCTGTTTCTCTCCTCTCTTTCTCTCCCCTCCCTCGCTTCCTCTCTCTCCCCTCCCTCGCTCCCTCCTTCATCTCCCCCCCCTCTCTCTCTCTCTCTCTCTCCTCCCTCGCTCCCTCCTTCCTCTCCTCTCTCTCTCTCTCTCTCTCTCTCTCTCTCTCTCTCTCTCTCTCTCTCTCTCTCTCTCTCTCTCTCTCTCTCTCTCTCTCTCTCTCTCTCTCTCTCTCTCTATCCCTCCCTCCCTCTCCATCCCTCTGCCCCACTACACATAGTACATACCACATAGATGGGCACCGACTTGAGCTTGGTCCAGTGGATGCGCACGGTGACGCGGTTGCACCAGACGCGGGTGATGCGCATCCAGGCGGGCAGCTCCAGCAGGTCGGTCATCACGGCCTCGTTCAGCTCCAGGTTGGACATCTCGCCCTCGCCGCGCATCGTGCTGATGTTGATCTTGTCCGCCGTCAGGTTCTTGGCGAATCTGTCAGTGAAGAACAGAAGGAAATGTGTCAGACGGGTGGCAAACAGAATTAGGTGTGGCTCATTGATAGCCAACACACAACGTTATACGAGGCGTAACAAATGAATTTATTTTGGCTGTCACATTTAAGCAATGTATAATTGCGATTATTATCCTGTAAGATAACGCTACTATTTAGCGGACGAATATGTAGATGCATCAAAATCATAACCCAGCAGTACAGAAGTCAAGCCCTCATTAGGTATGAACAATATCTACATCATCAGCATTCAGCAATCAATAGCTGACACTGCAAAATGCAAACAAAATAACAGCGATCAACAGATGTCCGACAGGGCAAGGTTCACGGCCTGTCGTTTCACAACACCAGCCTATTTTTATCCAAGCCGTTGATTCGTAGCTATGCACGGCTGATTCAAAGATGCCTTTGATAGTTCCTAGCGCAACGTGCCACGAACATATTTTTGGGGTGCACAAGCCTTGGCTCAACAGCGGCTGCAAATCCCAGCATAGCCCGCAAAGTATGCACAGCGTAAAACTAGCCCAATCTTGGAGGCAAATATTGTCCCTGCTGCAAAGATATGCCCTATACGCGTGACACGCAACACCTTTTGGGGGTAAAATGCAGAGAGGAATATTTTCCCAGCATGATAAAAATTAGCACCATCAATCATTCAAATAAAATGAGTAATTGATACTGCGGCCATTTTAGCTAAGAAGTAAGCGGTTTCAAGTTTTGCGACAGCTGCGCCCTGACAGAGCTGTGACCAGTTGCCAATATTCACGTTCGCCGAGCACCTGGTAACAGGACATGACCAAGGCTGTAGAACTCCGGCATGACCTTCTTCCGGCCGGTGATCTCACTGCCTCACGACTCAAGTCTCTGACTGCGCCCAGCCCAGCCGGCTGCCCAGTGGACGTGCATTGGCCATTAACCTTCAGCTCGGAGCAGACTCACGGCCTTCCTCACAGCGAACGGCAGCTGCGTGGGAAAGGGCATTGTTTGCGGCCCGTAGGCCACGAGTCCTCAACGCTGTCGAGCTGTGACGACTTGCAGCTTTAGATCTGGGCATTTTGATGTAGGTCCGGGTCAGGATAAGGATTTTTTGTCAAAACGTTGCAGCCAAGTCCTTAATTACATTTTCTATTGTTATCCCATCTTATCATGCCTTATTGATTAGGTCCTCTCCTACTTCCAAGAACTGGCTGCTCTTCCCCCAGTTTTATTATCACGCGAACTCAGCAGCTCACGAATATGATACTACCACGAGCAATCCTCAAGCACTTTGCAGAAAAATAAAATCGCAATTTGTGTCTTGTAGATGCTTTTCGACAGTCGTTCAGAAAACAATTAGCGCACCCGTCCCTGGATGACGTCTCAATAACAGCCCGTAAAACTCAGTGGGACGCTTCACGACAAACCAAGCTCAGAAGCACGACGAAGCCAAGGCCACAGGTTCGGTGGTCCAGAAACAACGCGTGGTAAACCAGCCGAGAAATCGATGTTACGCAAAGTAGCCGACTCAGTGAAGCGCACAATTTTAAAAAGCTTCAGCCCGGTTATGTGAATCAACAAACATAGTATGCTACTGAGCATCTAAAACAACGTTCCGATGCCCAGCTGTTCGGCCAGGACCAGAATACGGAGCATAGCGATGTCTTTCAAAGCATGGAAATTCATGCACAATGTCGAGATACCAGGTTGTAAGCTCTCCGCAGAATTGTGACCGATCTATATGCTATTTGCAAAGGCCTCTACGCCGTGCTGCGGCAGCTCGGACGGCAATCGGAGGCTAAGCAGACAGCTTGACCTAAGGGTCTGAGTGTCCATTCGGGAGCAAAGCCGGGGGGGGGGGGGGTAATGCAGAAAAATCTGCTACTAGAAACATCACACGATCACAAAATGGTATTTCGGGGTTAGTTACAAAGTATCATTTGTATTTCTTGCAAAAATATTTCACGTTATGTTTTAGACCATGTGCCCAAGCAGTTTCCATTGCAACTCATACACATTTCGAATAAAACATTAATTTCTCCAGAACATTTCAGTGCATCCCATGACAAGCGTTAGCCCTAAATATCCTGGGCCAAATCCCGGTCCGAGGATGGTCACTGGCCATCCCAGGCCCGACCGCGGGCCGAACCGTCGACCGCCGGCGGCTCCGGTCAGCGCCAGGGCCGATCAATGCCAGCCAGCCTCCAGCAACAGGCCGTATGCACACGGAGAAACAAAAAGCCGCCGCTCCCCGACCCCAAAAGGCCGCCAACTACCGCGGCCGTAGCGACAAAAAGGCGCCTGGCAACCAGGACAGAGAGCCGAGAAGTGAGGTCAGATTTACTGGGAAACTGTTTTCATCTGGACAACACTTCAGAAAGTCAGCATCTTACGGTATGTTGTTCACGCTGCAGACTATTGCAAAGTTGTTATGAGTGGGGAATGGATTCCGTTGAGTGTAAAAGGAAAAAAAGGTTACAACTTAACACATGCCTACCAATAAGCACCAGGGTTAATGTAAATAATATCATAGCAAGCACATGACTCGACATGTCACGTAATTCGAAACATTGCTCTGTAATCCCAGCAGACTCCCTCTCAGTCACGTTTCAAAAGCGGTTTTTGCCACCATTCTACAACCATCCAATTGGATGCTGGATATAACGGGAAGAGGGACGCTTTTTCCCCGGTCCAATCAATGGAAGGCCGCCACAGGTAGGTTGAATCGGAGCATCAGTGCTCTCATTCCTATCGGAGATAATCGCGACAACGCAGTGTCGTATTAGCGCGGTCACGGGACCACCATAAGTGCCGCCAAAACAGGCCTATAAATATCAGCGGCTCAGCTGAGGCTGAATAGCAAACCAACGAGCCGCCCGACCGCGATCCAGACAGAGTGCGACGTCACCAGGCTAAACCAGTGACGTCACCAGACTGAGACAGTGACGTCACCAGACAGACGACCGATTCTGAACCGGTCCCAGGTGCTCAGTGGAAGATGAAGCTGAGTAGGTAAGAATACCTGGGGCTGAAGATTGCGGACATTGCAAGCAGTGCATGGTGGACCGGAGAATATGAGTGGACGTTGGACGATACATGATGGGTGATAAGCGATGGACGACAAGTGCTAAACGATGGAAGATAAGCGATGGACGATAAACGATAAACGATGGACGATAAACGTTGGACGGTGGACGGTAAACGATGAACGAGAAACGTTGGACGAAAAACGTCGGACGATAAACGATGGACGATAAACGGTGGACGATAAGCGATGGACGGTGGACGGTTACTGAGACTCTGAAGCTGTAGGCGGCGGGTCCATGGCGGGCCACTGCAGACGGCGCAGTGGTGTGGGTGGTCAGTGCTGAGCGGCGGCGAGCTTCCAACTGTCTGTGTGGGCAGGGCAGCAGCCTATTGATTACGTAACACACGGACATGTATCGGCTACCTACCGCGACCAATGAATGGCTCGCAAAGACAGGTCTAAAGGTCGTGCCTACTCAGCAATTGGACTCAAAGTGAACGCATTGCCACACTAACCGAATATCACTGCCAAAGCTTACATCAAATAAAAGCGTGCCCACGCATAATCCAGCCATCACAGTTGCTAAGCGCCGCCGGTAACACAGGGCCGCCGAATCACCACTGGGTGATCTGATAGGTACCCATATCTCGGCGGAAGTCGGGCCAGCGGGCGACCTTCCGCGTCCTCCTGAACGGCCCGCACCTTCGGCGGCGGCCATCCCGCCTGTCCGATTACGGTCCCACGAGAGCGCTGTTTTACGACACCCTCGAGGTCGGCCCGCGGCCGGCGGTCCTCAACGGCCCACGGTCTCCGGGGCGGTGTTTCACAGCCCGACGCTGCAGCGCGCTCCTGTATTGGTGCGGCGTTTGAGACAAATTCGGCTCGACATTTCAGCGTTGCGAGCGTCCGATTTTGTTGATGTTTCCATGGAAACACAACGCACCGCAACGCACGGCCGTTTAACACCGCCCGGGAGTGGACCGGTAGTGAGCGGGCGCTACTGAACTGCGATAGCCTCCTGATCTGAGCCGCACCACGACAGTCCAGCCAGTCAGCACTACACCGAGCCCGAGCCCCCACCTCAGCACCCATCGAATCCACCGTCAAAGGCCAACGATCCCCACATCTCCACACGAGGATCCGCATCGTGTCGTCACCCACATACTATATTTCACCGACAGCCACAAATAAGCGCCGCTTTTCATATTCAACCCCTTCCAGCACGCTCCAGATTCTATCAAAGACCACCAGCGTGCCTCCCTCCCTCCACCTGTGGCCATCTCACGGCATTGTGCCCGCTCTGTCGACCGCGACACACGCCTCCGCTGGCTCTCCACCGCCGACAAAACGCGCTCACAGGCCCCGGGGACGGCCCGTCGAGACGACGGGCCTGGGCGCCGGAGAGGAACATCGATTTATCTGTCGGGCCGCCGCCGACATCACGCCGAGCGAACAGCCGCTCCAAGCCAGTCGACATGCCGTGAATACAAAACAACCGATTTCGGATGCTTTCCGTCGAGCAAAATAACAACACCGCTGCAGGCTTAGGCAAAGCCGTAAGTTTGGTACAGTTATTGGTTGGTACCAAATCGCCAGGAAGCATACTTTTAGAGTCAGATAAAACATCCAAATAGAAAAAAATGGCTGTAACAAGTGTTAATACTTTTTAAAGTTTCGTTCGTAACTGGTGAACCGAAATGAACCATATGAACCGTAACGTTCACATGAAGGCTAATTGAAAAGAAATGAAACAGAAGAATGTAAGAATGTCGCAAGTCCCACAATCACAATCGCGGAAGGACGCTCGGGACGCCAATATCCGCGTGTTTGCTGACGGACCCTCGTGCCGCGCGTATGGCGCCCATATCAGCTGACACGCGGCGGAACTATGCGTGCCTATAGCTGGGTCACGTGCCTATGCCTATGGCTGGGAACTCTGCGTGCCTATGGCTGGGTCACGACCGGGGGTGATACGCCGGCCAGCTTCATCAAGAGGACGACACGCACGCTCCTGGCGCAAGTGGGTCGTGATTATGTGACTATTATTACGCTCATTCAGATTCGAGCAGTAGCAATTTCTCTAATTGATTCCGGTGCCCGACCATATATCCAAGGACATAAAATTGCTCGTAAACAGTGACAAGATGCCTTACAAATCTCTTTCGCCAGGACCAACGGGACGCAACATTGGCTGCAAGAGTTCTTTTCACAAAGCCATGAGAAACTGATAGTGATTGAACCACATCGATTGGTTGTCCCGCGCTGGACAATCCTCTTCATAGATGGCGCCAGGAGTGAGCGCCTGCAAGCACGCTGTGCCGCAATGTCGCGGTCAGACATCGCTGTTTGGAAAACGTCCGCGGGTCGCGGGATCAGTTATCACTTATCAGAAGCGAGTTTCTCTTTCCTGAAGTAAGCGACCAACGATTCGGACATACGAATCCAGCAATATGCTTCCGTCATCTGTAAAACGGTACTTAGTACTTACTATGATGGTGTTCAAATTAGCTTTGTTTGATAAATTTCCACGAACGGACAACCTTGTTAAGGCGATATACAACATATAGATGGTCATCTAAACGCTGTCGTCAAGGTCCAGCCAGACAGGAGAGCTTGTCGCAATCGCCATTCATCCGTATTAGCACGCACGTATTCGGACATTGCCACCTGGCAGCACTGGGACTGGGGTCCTTTTCCGCCCTGCACGCTACCTGACATTGTTTCTGCTGCCGCGTGTGCCCTGTCCGTCACGAGAGACGTTATTTATGGATGGCCCGTGACCTGTTATTGACGAATGGTCACTGTGACGGCGGCCGGAGGCAATAATATACTGGTCACCAGAAGACAGCTGGATAGAGACGCATCGATCGTTGATGACAATCTAAGGTAAGTAGGCAGCAGACACGAGCCTAAAACATTATTCAGAAGAGCTGTATATGAAGGGGGTGAGAATACCACTATCATAACATTGGTGAGCTACGCCTCCTCGCGCTATGCATATGGTATGTGTGATAAGAAAGTTACCCGATTTATACACTTTGCTGAGTCGAATTAATGGATTAAGACTAACATCCAGGACCAATGGTATTGTAATATTGTTCCTCGTGACAAGTGCGCTAGAACGTACAGGGTGTCCGGAAATTATTTGCCCCTCCATCAACTCGCCGTCATAATCTATAAACAAAGAGCCTCCGGGTCATGGTTTATTTACCAATTTGTCCCCTGCTCTGTCCCACCCATTCCCTCATCCACTTTGGCATTTCATAGATCAAGATGTCCAGAGTATCCGCGCTGATGTTCAGCCTTTCACAGGATCCTATAAAGTCTGTTTTCTGTGGGAGCTGGATCAATCTTGCTGAGCTCCTTCATGATTTCCCATAGGTTTTCGACTGGGATTAGGACAGATGATTCGATTTGACTTCCTACTTCATTCCAGTCTTCACCATAACTTCAGCGCGATGACGCTTTGTCAAAGAGTTTCTTTCGTCATAGTAGACACCACGTTCAGGTTAGAGTCACGCCTGCCAAACACTGGCCCCTGGCGCCTCGCAAGTGTCAAGGTCAGGTGACCGGGTTAGGTCATGTGACTAACGGACAACTGTGGATAGCCTGAGGCACGATCTTAGCATTTTTTTAACGGTTCTTAAAGCGCATGGTGGGATTTAGCTAAATGAACCAGGGGCAAATAATTTTCAAACACCCTGTAGTCAATCAAATGTGTCTTAAATGAGAGCACGTAAGTTGTCTCGTACCTATTCCCTTGGCGTAGGGAAATGGGTTCCTCCATTTGTCGCAGGAGTTACAGACGAAAATATAAATATGCATCGACAAGGGTGATATTATATTGTTTTATGTTCACATAGGTAGTGTTATGCTATGAAATAGTCATTCAAGCCTGTCTATGAAAACCACCAGCGTGCTCTTTAGAAAAATAACTTACATTTCCATTCACCTTTGTAAAATCACTCTTTTTCGAAAAACATTTGCAGCATTGACGGCAGTTACTGAAAATGCTTACTGTGCAGTTGAGAAACTTGGCGTTACGAAAGAGTGACAAGGAGCTATCCTCTTCGAAGTAGGAGAGCATAGCAACCCGAGGGAGACTTTAACGGAATAGGTGAGTAGTTCTAAATGTGACATGTCAAATATGACGACACAAGAACGGCGGATCCAGAGCACTCGATGTTCAGCTAAGATGATTTGCAAAGGTCGGAGCAAAGTTCGTGATATGACGATCGGCTCCACGTGAGAGAAATAATAAATATTACCCGCCAACGGGCACCAAGGGCGCCTCGACTGCAAATGGTTCCCACGAGCAATATATCGCTGCTGCCAGGCGCCAGGACGAGCCATCATAGACAAGCAGAAGAACGAGAAGCTCTTTAGGCACGTAATTTCAAACGTCACGAATAAAGTTCCCATATGATAAAACATTTGCTCAGTCATCCACTCAACGCCCAATATGACGATATTAAACGGCTTATATTAATTCGCATCACTCCTAGTGCAGCGTCTCTCCATTCGCTTTAGCAAACAATATCAAGCCTCATTGCTGTGACGGTATAAAGACGCTCGCGCACGCCAGATCGCCGGACGTGAGCCGATGCCGACCCAACGTCCCCGAGTCCCGTGCTTGTTCCAGTGACCACGCAGCCAGTCGTCACACGGACTGGAAACGCACGCCACGCACGCCAATCCCTCGGTCGGCGAGCGACGGATCGTATCAACAGCTCGGTCAGTCGCCGGCAGCGGCGTCCGGTCACTGTCAGCAGCACTGCCGCGCTACGCGTCAAATGACGTCATTGGTCAGTGTCACTACGGTGTCTGGAAGGCAGGGATGCGGAGCCGGAGCCGGAGTCGGAGCCGGAGCCGCCGGAGCCGGCATATTTTGCCCGGAGCCGGAGCCGGAGCCGGAGCCGTGAAACAATATAGCCCGGAGCCGGAGCCGGAGCCGGAGCCGCCAAAAAAGGGGGCGACTCCGGCTCCTTTTTATTTTTTGAAGAGGAAAAAAAAATAATTGACCTAGTTCGGTTTGACAGTACAAGGCAGTAAAACATATGGTACTTACGTCATGGGCCATCAAGTGAATGAAAAAATCCGAATATCCCCAGTATCCCACAGTACGCAAACAACTTCCTGTTTGCTCTTCCCCCCCCCCCCCCACGTCTACTGCATCCCCAGAACATGAGGACCAGTCATCAGGTGACGGCCATTGTTTTCAAACCAGTGCAGTGGACTGCGACTCCCAGCACCGTCTCATCCCACACACCCCCCACCCCTCCCCCCCCCCAATGCAGCCGAGACGGGTGTCAGCTTACGATGGTTCACTGAACTCCGATTCGCGGCGACTGCGTTTCCAATGCCATCGCTTCCTAGCCCTTTGTTCTGCCAGTTCTCTCCGAGGTGCGTTTGCGCGGGGACGCGGTGAGCCGGTCATGGCAAAGAGTAACGCGTATAACCAATCCAATTTTTCTTCCACCCGTATTTAATTGATTGCGTAGGGGATTTACTGAGTCGGAGCCGGAGCCGCCGGAGCCGGACCATTTTACTCGGAGCCGGAGCCGGAGCCGGAGCCGCCATAACATTTCACCCGGAGCCGGAGCCGGAGCCGGAGCCGATTTTTTTCTCCGGAGCCGGAGCCGGAGCCGGAGCCGTCTGAAATTTCCACGGCTCCGCATCCCTAGTGGAAGGAGTAGCAAATGTTTTGTACCTAACTGATGGGAGACGACCCTCTACAATAAAATGCTGGTTATCTAAACGACACCGTACCTAGGCAGTTAATTTAGTAGTACAAAACCTGCTGCTCAAAAAAGTGTCCCGTTATTGATGAACTTACTTGGATAGATGTTTCAAAATCTGGTTCTTGATAATTGAAGTCATTCTGACGGCGGAGCTGCAAAGCGAACCCGCAGTGTGACGGCTTCAGCAGTCCCGGGGCTCAGCCGAACGGTGGCGTTCCTGAAAAAAAAATACGCACAGTGTTACTTACTGGTGCGTGGGCAGCGGTCACATTAGTAAGTATTAGCACTAAAACACAGGACGCAGGCTATCCAGCAATCGGCTATGAACAATATGTATTGCTCATATAACAGCCACTTTTATCTCAAAGCAATGAGCATATATATACATATCGAGCGACTATCGTCGGTAAATCAGATCATGGCTATCCAGATTGTACGGGTAGTACTTTGGTACTTTGGTGGTACTCAGGTATAGGTACTTTGCAAATGACATTCAGAGCTATAAGCAGGTTCTAGCGCCGCCGGTCTTCCGATTTTTTGCTGAAAATGCTCGTTCAAAACAGAGCATTGTCCTAGCTTCGACAAAATCTGCCATGGAAACATCAACGAGCGTATTATTTCCAAGCAAATATGCTGTAAGGCATGACTTTGAGCTACGCCAAATTTACTCCGACTCCGGAGTCAGAGTCGGTAATATTTTGGCGACTCCGACTCCGACACCGACTCCGGTCAAAATTGTCGATTGCGACCGACTCCGACTCCAACTCCGACTTCGAAGCCCTGTCCAGAAGACCATGAAGACAGTTCAACTGATGGGACAGCCTTTTACACATCCTGTGTGTGAGCAGCTTGTAGGCCGTAGGTAAATTGGATAATGGATATGGTTCAAATAGCCTAGGCAAACGCCACAAAAATTACCTACACGGCGATGTCCTATCTCAATCCTTGATTACCTACCTACTTATAGCTTTACAAGTGATGTCATTCTGAGCCACTTTGTGAGGAAATTAGGATGAATGCTAGCCACTTCGATTTGTCTTTTATAGTCCTATCTGGCCCATATCACACCTTATCACCTTCTCACAATGAAATGCAGTGTTAGCACAAATTCCCAACAGATACTGCATCATATCAGCTTCCAAAGAGCTCATATGATGCAGTATTTGTTAGTAATTTGTGCTAAAACAGCACTTGATTGTGATGCACAGGGAATGCAAACTTCAAATTAAAAATCAAAAGCTGTAGGTGCAATATGCTTCCTAAAGCATGTAATCTCACATGGAATGCTTTTTCAAAGCCCAGACACATGCCCTTGCCCAGACATTCCATTTCAAAAGTTCTTGAATTTCTTCAACATAGGGCTAAGGTTAGGACTGGTATTTTTGAAATATTGGTTCACCTTGCAGAATTGAAAGGAAATTTTGAAGGTATTTGTGGCTACATTGACATTCACAGATTATGGATGACAGCTGGCATTATTCTCAGATGATGACAATGAGGTTTAGCCAGTTTAGGTTTTTTAATTAAAATAGTGGGTTAGGTTGGACTAAGGTTTAGGGGAGAGCGGGGCAATGGCGGACGGTGGGTAATGCCGGCCACCCATCTCTAGTGAGTACTTTGTCCATCACTAATCAGCTGATGTTGTTTACATTTCAGTTGAGCGCCATTCTAGCACGTGGTGCAAGTTTGTCACGGTAGCTCCATTATTTTCATTTTTATAGCGTTAAATGTGTTTTTCGTATCCGATTTTTAATTTTTGATGCATCTATTTGCTGACTGTGAAATGTGTTAACGCATTTTCAGAAGTGCTGCTTTGCAATGACCTTCAATTAAGCCTTTCTTAGGCGACTGCTGGATGTGAGGCGTTTGCGATGCAATGCCTTTGACTGCTGCCTGCTTTCTTAAAATAAAGCTGACCTCGGGGTAATACCGGACACGTGTCCGGAATGACCCCACGCGGTTTTGTTTGCGACTTCTGTCGTTAAAGCTCAACGTTTCGGGTTGCTGTGTTTACGGCTGTGTTAGTTTGCTTGCTGTTTACGGTTGTGTTAGTTTGCTGCTCTGTTGGCGCCGCGCTGTTGTGTTGCAGCGAGTGCAATGTTGTGTTGCAGTGCAGTGCACTGTTAACTGCTGAATACAGTTGTCGTTTCTTAATTCTCACTTAAATTTCCATCGAAAGAACGGTTTAAGGATGAATACTGTAGTGGTTTGCGCCCTCCTGGCTAGACCCGTGGTTTCCACGCGAGTTGTTTATTATTCTCCCGCCAAAAGACAACTACAATCTCGGCGCACTTGGCGACCTAAAATGCTGCAATATGCTGCAATACAGTACACTTTCCCCCTCGGAACATAAGACGTACTGCAACTTCAACTTCACAAAGAGCTTCGCCAGACACTGACATGAGCTATGCTTACTACTTTAGCCAAAGGCCAGCGCGCTGATTTCAATCAGGCGCTGAGGCGCACGCTTAGGTCTACTTGACCTGCGCAGCGCCGGTGTAGGCGACAGTGACAACGAAGATGGCCGCGCAGGCTCCACCCGACTGCTACTCTCTGCCTCGTTGTCGTTAGTCGTCCGTCCTTCATCCAGCGTAGCTGACTCATCAGGATAGACCCGGCCTGGGTCCCGTGTCGTCACCGACCGGTCCGGTTCAGCCGCAGACTCCCTGCGTTCCAGTACTGGAGGCGGAGACGGTCGGCCCACTGTCTCCTCGTGAGCCTCCTCCCGGCGAGAAGGATCGTGCCGAAGGTGGTTGACGTGGACGAACCGGACTCGACCGTGAACCCTGCACAGGTACGTATGCGGTCCCTTACGGCACAGGACGATGCCCGGTACCCACGTCACACGCTGGTCGCTGCGACAATTCCGCACGAACACAGGCTGCCGCGCTGTGAATTCGCGCAGCTTCATGTCCTTTCCATCATGACTTGCTTTCTGTTGCTCCTGCATCTTCTCCACTTGAGCCTTCAAATTGGGCTTGAGTAGGGACAGACGCGTCCTCGGCGCTCGGCGAAGAAACAGTTCCGCCGGCGTTTTTCCAGTGACTGTGTGTGGCGTGTTTCGGTACGCGAACAGGAAACTGTCCACTTGGTGTCGAAGCGTTCTCTTCTCCCCCGACACTTCGTTTTTCAGCAGGTTTTCCTTCAGCGTACGGACGCAACGCTCCACCTGACCATTCGACGCGCTGTGATATGGCGGCGTCCTCTTGTGCTTCACTCCATTCCTTTTCAGGAAGTCGCTGAACTCCGACGACGTGAACGTCGGTCCATTATCAGTGACAACAACCTCCGGAACTCCGAAACGTGCGAAGAGGCTGCGGAGTGCTTCGACCGTTCGCGCTGTCTTGATGTCCGCCATCATGAAGACTTCTAGCCATTTTGAATGACCGTCTACTACCAAGAGGAATTGCTGACCTCCTTTCTCAGCAAAATCCAGATGCACTCTTTCCCACACACGTTCTGGCCATTCCCAGGGTATCAGCGGTGCTGCGGTCGGGTCTTGTCGGACGGCCTGACATGCGCAGCAGCTCTTCACTTCCGCATCGATGTCAGCATCAAGCCCCGGCCACCAGAGGTAGCTTCTCGCAAGGGCTTTCATCCGACCGATACCCGGATGCTCCTGATGCAGGTCCTGGAGAAGCCGCTGTCTGAACTTCGGCGGGATTATCACTCGTCTTCCCCACAGGAGGCATCCATCTTCTACAGACAGTTCCTCTCTTCTTGCGAAGAACGGCTGGATGTTGTCTGTGATGTCGTCATGCCAGCCCGACATGACGTACTCGCTCACCTTACCAAGCGTCAGATCCCGTCTGGTTTCTTCTTTGATTTCTTGTGCTGTCAGCGGGAGCTCCTCGACAACGGAGAACACCGGCTCTTCTTCCATTTGATCCGGTTCTTCAATGTTGTCCCTGTTTGTCACCAGCCGAGACAGCGCATCAGCGTTGCCGTGTAGATCCGATCGTCGATATTCGATATTGTAGCTGTACGCCGCCAGCATGAGTGCCCAACGTTGCATTCTTGCCGCGGCGAGGGGCGGCACTGCCGTATGCGGCCCCAGGAGACTGGTCAGCGCCTGGTGATCTGTGACCAGGGTGAACAGCCGTCCATACAGGTACTGATGGAACTTCTTTAGTCCGAACATGATACTCAGTCCCTCTCGTTCCACTTGTGCATAGTTGCGTTCGGTGGGAGTCATAGTCCTTGACGCGAAGGCGATTGGTTGTTCCGATCCGTCGCTCATGACGTGAGATATGACCGCTCCCAGTCCGTATGATGAGGCGTCACAACTGAGCTTGATGGGCTTCTCTTCGTCATAGTGCACCAGCACGTCATCTTCACTCAGTGCTGACTTCAGCTGTTGGAACACCTTCTCGCAGGCTGGAGTCCAGTTCCAGCGTGCCTCTTTCTGCAGCAGCTGGTTCAGCGGCTGCAGCTGCGTCGAGAGGTTTGGCAAAAACCTCCTGTAGAAGTTGATGATGCCCAACATGCTCTGCAGCTCCTTGACGTCGTCCGGCCTCTTCATGTTCCTGATGGCCTGGATCTTTTCTTCTGTGGGATGGATTCCATCCGCCGTGATCGTGTGTCCCAGATAGTCGAGCTCCGTCTTGAACATCTCACACTTTGCACCATTTAGGTGGATGTTGTACTTCTCCAGGCGCTCCATCACTTGGCTGAGGTCTCTGCGGTGCTCCTCCACTGATCAACTGGCCACCAGAATATCGTCGAGATACACCAGTACCCCATCCAGTCCTTGAAGGGCCTGGTCCATCACCTTCTGGAACAACTCTGGTGCCTGGGCTACACCATATGGCAGGCGTTGAGGCTGTAGGAGACCTCTCGGTGTGTTGATCACCAGCAGGCGCTTCGATGCTTCTGAAAGCTCACACTGCAGGTAAGCCTGAGACAAGTCCAACTTAGAGAACACTTTGCCCTTGATTTTTGCAAAGAGGTCCTGGACCGTGGGCAACGGGTAAGTGCCCACCTCAGCCCACCGGTTTACGGTGACCTTGTAGTCTCCACATAGCCTGACTGTTCCATCCTGTTTCATCACTGTGACGATGGGTGATGCCCACTCACTGCTGGTGACTGGAACCAAGATTCCCTCATTCACCAGCCTGTCCAGCTCCTCAGTGACCTTGGTTCTGAGAGCGTAGGGCACACTGCGGGGCTTGAAGAAGCCTGGTGTTGCTCCCTCTTTCAGCTTAACCTCTACCTTGAAGGATTTGATGGGCCCCTTACCTTTCAGAAACACTTCTGGGTACTGCTTCTGTATATCACCCTTTTCCACCATATTCATGGTGGCAAACGACTTCCAGTCCAGTCTGAAGACCTTGAGCCAGTCTCGACCCATCAGGTTGGGACGTCGGCTGTCCACATCCACCACCAGCAGACTCACGGTGTGTTCCTGCTCCTGGTACTTTGCTGTCACAGTCATTTTCCCCACCACAGGGATAGGGGAACCCGCAAAGCCTGTCAGGGTCACATCTGTGGGCTCCAGGGTGGCCCCTCGGAACACCTCATCAAAGACATGCTTGGTCATGACAGTTTGGGCAGCCCCTGTGTCCACCTGCAAGCTGACAGGTTTGTCATTCAGCCACATCTTAACTTCATAGGGATTTGCACCCACATCATCCATGCTGTACAGTTCATACATCCCATTGTTCGGTTTGGATGGTCCTTTTGGTTGCTTTTTTGGGGTAGCAGACTCGGATGCTCCCTGTTTGGTTCTGCACTTTTTTGCCACATGCCCCTTTAGGTTGCACTTGTAGCACACTGCATTTCGGAATTTACATTGTGCTGCCTGGTGTGTGGTACCACCACAGCGATAGCAAGGGCCTGCACTTTGGTTCTCCCTCTTACTCGAATGGGCTTGTCCCCCAGTTCTTACCATGTGCACTTCTGGTCCTGGGCCATGCAGATCTCTGGCTTGCTGGGCAGCTGACTCCATCCCCAGGGCGATCTCTCCTGCTCTTGAGAATGACAGCTCATTGGGTTCTGCCAGCAACTTCTTTTGGATGGATGGATCCTTTAGCCCACAGACCAGCCTATCTCGTAGTGCCTGATCCAAAAAGTTGCCAAAATCACAGCTGCTTGACAGCTTTCGCAGTGCCAGCATGAAAGCCGCAATGTCCTCTCCCTCACCCTGAGCTCTACTATGGAATCTGAATCTCTCCGCAATTACCAGTGGTTGCGGGCTCAGGTGCTTCTGCAGCACTGTTATCAACTCATCTAGTGTTTTCTCACTTGGTTTGGAGGGTGACAACTGACACCAGATCTCTTACAATTCCATAAGTTTTCGGACCGATCACAGCCAGAAAGGCCTCTTTTTGCAAGTTTTCTTCCACTTTAGCCACTCTGAACGATAGCCGCAGGCGCTCCACATATGTCTCAAAACTTTCTTGGGCCTCATTGAAGTGCCCCACTGCAGTTAAAAGAGCTCCTAGGTCTCCTGACATCTTTTCCAAATTTGATGTCTACTGCAAATTCACAATTTATCTCATTCTTCGTCGCCAGTGTAGTGGTTTGCGCCCTCCTGGCTAGACCCGTGGTTTCCACGCGAGTTGTTTATTATTCTCCCGCCAAAAGACAACTACAATCTCGGCGCACTTGGCGACCTAAAATGCTGCAATATGCTGCAATACAGTACAAATACCAGTGACGATATTTCGACTTTTTGTGCTATTGCACTTAGTGGCCGGCATTACCCCTCGCTTTTTTGCACCTCCATTTTTCACCACATTTTCGCGTAGGCTCTGAATCTGTCATCAGTGATCTGAGACACTAAAACTAAGTGTTTTCTGAAAGCCTATTCCTTTGGCTATAACCACAGTCAAAATCACCATAAAATAGCTTCAAATAGCTAAGCTATTGAGCAAAATGCTTATGGTGTCGCCATTGCCCCACTCTCCCCTATCTAGCACCCACTTACCTTACCTTACCTTACCTTTGCGGTGATCGGGATAAAAGGCCACTAGGCCTGGGGAACCCGCTCACATCGAGCTCGTAACGGGATACAGGCTGGGCTCTTAGGGGTTTGGGACGTCAAACATCGAGTCGCGCCAGTGTTTGTCCAGTTGGGCCTTGAACTGGTTCACGGACTGGGCTGATACCACTGCGTTTGGTAGAGAGTTCCAGTCGTTGATAACTCTAATGCTGAATGCGTTTCTGCGCACGAGTTTCGATGCCCTGGGCTTCTTGAGTTTCCACCCGTGGCCCCTGGTGCGGTCCGAGTCGCTCCGTGTCAGGAAGACTTCAGGTGATATTGCCAGACCACCGTGTAACAGTTGGTAAACCGTCACCATGTCACCTCTGCGTCTCCGGTAGTATAAGGATGGCAATCCTAGTCGACGGAGTCGTTCGGTGTACGGAAGGCATTTGATCGTGGGGACCATCCTTGTTGCACGCCGTTGCACACGTTCAAGCTTCTTCTGATCAACCTTTTGGAAGGGACCCCAGATCGTGTTTCCGTATTCCAGGAGAGGGCGAACAATCGTCTTGTATAACAGAGGCAGTGTGAACTCATTAATGTTGGCGAATGAGCGCCTCAAAACGGCCAGTATCTGGGAAGCCTTCGCGATGGCTGTGGCGGTCTGCTTGTGGAAGTTGAGCTGGGAGTCTATGACGATGCCGAGGTCCTTCTCTTCCTCTGTAGTTTGAATCGGGATACCACTCAGGGTGTACATGAAGCCTGGGTTTCGGTGGCCGAGGTGCATCGCCTTACATTTCTGGGCATTGAAGGGAAGTAGCCATTTTTCAGACCAGCGGACAAGTGCGTCGATGTCCCTTTGGAGGCTTGAGCTGGGCCCAGGCACGTGGCGGTAGAGCTTCGTGTCGTCGGCGAATAGCTTAACCGAGCCGGACACTTCTGAGGGCAAGTCGTTGACAAAGATAGTGAAGAGTACAGGTCCGAGGACCGATCCCTGTGGAATTCCGCTCGTCACCGGTGCCCAAGGGGACTTACTTCCCTGGACCACGACCCTCTGTCGGCGATCGACCAGAAAAGCCGCGATCCAGTTGAGAAGGGTTCCCCTGATGCCATAAGCATACAGCTTGCGAATCAGGCGTTTGTGTGGCACGGAATCAAAGGCCTTGGCGAAGTCCAGGTAGATGATGTCAATCGCTTCATCATTTTCTAGAGCAGAGCTCCATTCCTCAATCGCTTCCATCAGCTGGGTGGCGCAGGATCTCTTGGGGAGGAACCCGTGCTGAGCGCTGTTTAGCAGCCCGTTTGTGCTCATGTGCTGGAGGAGGGCGTCTCGGACAATCGACTCAAGAACTTTGACGGGGATGGCCGTGAGAGTAATAGGTCGGTAGCTTGAGGGGTTTTGACGATCGCCTTTCTTGAAGATCGGCGTGATC